AATCCAACTCAAAAAGTAAAATCAAAAGAAAAAAAAGTCAAATTGTTTTTCAGATTTTTTAATAATAATTCTAAAAACTATATACAACAAAGCAATTTAATTGAGCTTTTTTCGATTCTTTATTAATTAATTATTTTTTTCAATCCGAATATTATTTTAAACTTAAAGTGATATTTAATGGCCTTATTAATATATAAATAATAAATACCATCTTATTTTGCTAAAAGTCGAAGTGCTTAAATACTATCTTGCCGATACTCTTCATTCTAAAAAAACTTTATTATAATTTAATCTGAAATTTAATTTGTTTAATGGATAAAAAGCATATTATAAAACCTTTTTAAGATAATCCCGTATTCCTTTTATGTTAATTGCTTTTCAGAAAGAAAATTATCAAGTTTTCATAAGCAAATCTAAAAGTAAAGATTTAGACCTAATCTCAATCATTTATGGATTTCATACCATTTTAATTTAATTCTCTGGCAATTTAAAGATCATGTGCTTTTAGATAATTGGGAAGCAGTCATTTATTTTTTATTCAAATTATTCATTTGTTTCTTAAAAGCAAACTGATTCATTTCATATCAAAAATTAATTGTAAGTGTTTGGAAAATTTAAAAAAAAAACTGAAGTTTTTAAAATAAATTGTTTTAATTAATTTGAATAAATAATTAATACAAAAAATATGAATTGCAAATATTATCATCTTTTCTACAATAAAAATTTTATGGTTGTCAATTGACCCTCAACTATTTTAAATAAATAGAAGAAAGATAACATTTATATATTAAGATAAAAATAAAGTGAAAATCAGTAAATGAGGAAACAGTTAAGAAAGTAATAAAATCAATAATATTATAAGATAGAATCATCAAATGTTTGAGGATAATCTGTTGAATTAATTACGTAGTTTATTTGTTTGAGAAACATTTTTAGTTTATCATATATAAATTTACATTAATAATTAAGAACTATTTATACTGAGTATTTAATAGTTTTGAGCTTAAAAAAATCTATCTATTATTAAGTTTTCGAATAATCTCTGATTCAAATGAAAGAATGAAATGTAATTCACCTCATTGTAAAAATATTCATAAAAGTAAGTAAGCTTTCTAAAATATCTTTAGGATAAACTTCTAATCATTATGTTTTGTAATTTTAAAAATTTTAATGTTAAGATTTTTTTCTTTTCTCAGAGTTAGGTCAAATGTAAAGTTTTTTAATATTCCAATCTTGTTAATAGACTTTACTTCTTAAAATTAACAAGGATTAAAGTAGGTAAAGTAAAATAATTATAATGCTTCAATCTAGAATATACACTAATACATCAATCTTAAAGGTTATCAAAATTATGCATTCCAAATATATATTTTGATTTCAAAATATTGAACCAAGGCTTTAAGGTTGGGCCAGTTTTCTGTAGTCCTTGGTGATTATACATCAATGAAAACTCTATGATCAATCAATCTAATTTAATCTGTATAAATATTGCGATATTTAAATTATTTTCTTCTTAGTTTAGTTTTATTTTATAATTAAAATTTTTGATAATTTATATACTTTAGATCCTTATTTATGAGTTATTTCAATTATATTTTCTTTTAAAAAAGTTTTTGTTCCTAGAAAGGGCAAAAACACCCGCTAAAAAAAAAATACTCAACAAATATTCTAATATTGTCTCAATTACAATCACAAAATTAATAATCTTTAAATTTATATAATATATTTAAAATCTAAAAAAAATAAGTATGGAAATGAAAAATGAAAAATGATTCCATCAACCCAAATCGCATATAATTCTGTAAACAAACTTATTTGAAATTCAGGCTTGCAATTGATGCTTTCACATTTACTATTTTAGTAATCTTGTTTGATTTAGATAAATGGAGTTCAATTTCAATCATTCCTTTAATGGTGATTCTTAATTGATACAAAAATTTAGAATGTTTTGACAAATTTAGATTATGATCTGCAATAAATAATTAAGTTTTTTATGTTATTCCAATAACAATTTCATTGTATTGAAATAATTCTGCATTCAGATTCATAGTTAGAATTCATGCATTTTTCCATTTATTTTTTGACAATTTATCTTAATTTAACCCTTCATTATAAACATATGATTCCTCAATATAATGTATAAAAGGCTATCCTTTTAAATAACATTAAAATATTTAATATTAATTAGCCTCATTATTGAATTTATTAAATAATAAAAAAAAAATAATTTATACTTGATGGTTTTCACATTATTAGTCCATCTAAGTTTGAGTTGTTTTTTGTAATAAAAAATTATTAAGTAATAAATTTGTCAATAATTATTGAAATTATTTTAATTTAATATGTCAAATTTCATTTCTATCTATCATTTTGATACAAACTGTTTTTAAAATACAAAATAATCCTCTAAGTTTCTGATATAATAAGGTTAAGGCTATTTAAATTCATTAAAATAACTTCAAGTTATAAGCATAAATATCATATTAAGTTTTAACATTCGATGCAGCACAATAGAAAGAAAATATTGTAATATTAAAATTTATATTTTGATGATGAATCTATTCTGCATTATAATCCTACTTCTTATAAACATCGATTTAAAAGCTTAAATGTACGATGAGAGTTAAATATTTAATTGTAAAGACGACAATTATGATGAAGAATAAGAACAAATAAACTCTTAAAAGTTAAAGTTGTTTCCAATAGATTGTTGGATCTTTGTTATATTATGTATAAGTTGAATGATAATTCCAAGCCCCTGTTACATTTATAATATCCATCAGAATTATCTATGAGTTCCTTAAAGATTTTAGACTCTTTGGAGGTCCTGGAGATGTTATTTTTGTGATAACAGTAACAAATGCTATCCAGTCATTAATTCAATTTTCTACAGCATTGTATGTATTTATAGAAGATTAAGCTCCAGCAAATTTGTTCTGTGATGTAATTATTAAAATAAAATAGATTACAGGGATAGCTACATCAATTGTGTTTGTGATATCGAATTTAAATATTTTTATATTCTCTGCCTACCCTCTTGCTTTAGTTTATAATACATTAGAGAAAACAGTCAAATTTGTCAGAATATCTAATTACTCTCTCACAACTCTAATAATCATCCTAGTTATTTTAGCCTTTATATTTGATGATAATATAATTTCAATTACATTAAATGGGTATATAAGAATTTAATATATATTAGAATGTGTGCTATCTCAGCTACCCATAAATCTTTTTGGGATTATATTATAGCTACAATTTATTTAGTTGTTTTCCTTTTATTTGCAACAATGTCAATAATTTACGTCTTTGCATTCAAAAAGTTAGTTCCTAAAATGTCATCTATTCGATAATTAAGAGGCTAATACTTGAGATATTATTAAAAATTCATTATTTTTAGCCTTGTAATGAAATTTTTTCTTGGAATTTTCAGTGCTATTAATTTACTAAATTGTTATATCTTTTATAAGAGTTATCTTTTAGCTTCAGAAACCTGTTAAAATGTTACCTAAGCACTTTGTATTTTAGGCTAGGTTATCATCATCACAAGAGATCCACTACTAATACCCAAGTTGAAACATTCATAAACATCTGAAAGCCAATCAGAGATGGATTCGCCAAATGTATCAAAAACTGAAATTTCTATGTAATGTAAAATATCTTTTACATTTTTATTTTAGAATTTAATCTTTTAGAATAGTTGTAAAAAGAAATGAAAAAAACTCAAGTTATTTCGATGTTAGCTGGAATTTAAATGTTTATAAAATAGAATTAAGATAATACAATCATCTATAAAGATTTAGAAATAAATGATGATTAAGATGATACTGAAGAATCCAGTTCAGGAGATCTAAGTGAATTAATCGAAATTGCTCATTAACCTTTTACTCCTGAAGAAGTTTAAGAATGTTTGGTTATCAATCTGAATAATGATCTAATCAAATCCTAATTTAATGATACTCAAAATATTTAAGTTTTTTAAATGAGATGTATATTATATGCTCCAAAGATTTTTAACTATTTTGTAACATTAGATAATATTGATCTAGAAGATTCTTTTGATGTTAATAAGAATTTATAGTAAATTGAAAATTTCACAGGTCCGGATGGTGGAAAAAGTGGTGAATTCTTTTTTTTTTCTCATAACAATTAATTGATTATGAAAACAATGAGATAATAAGAAGTAAATACTTATAAAAAACGTTTATTGAACTTTGCTACTTATTAAGCTAATAATCCAGAATCTTTATTAAATAAAATATATGGAATGTATACTTTTGAAAGAGTTGAAAAATCTGAAGCAAAAGTTCATTTTTTAATAATGAAGAATTTATCTTTAGGTGTACCCAAAAATCAAATATTAAGAACCTATGATTTAAAAGGGTCTGAATATGATCGTGAAGTTCTTGCAAAAAAATCTGAAAGTGATTTGTCAAAATTGACACTTAAAGATTTAGACTTTTTTAAAATAGAAAAATAAATTTGGGTTGATTAATCCATTATCAAGAGTAATTTTATTTAACTAAATCAAGAATTGAATTAGAATTTATCTAAAGACACGGATTTTTTAGAAAAATAAAAATTAATTGATTATTCTTTGTTGGTTATGATAATAGATTGGAAAGAGAAAAAATAATAATTTTTTTAGCATTTGGGAGGCTAATAAATTAATTTTAATCCTTCAATTAAAGAATAAGGGGTAAAAATTGATATAATATTTATTAGATTTATTACCACATAGGTATAATTGATTATTTATAATAATGGAATGTTAATAAATCGCTTGAAAGAAAAACTAAAAAGATTATTTAAATGAATTTACATTTAGACACTTCGGCTTAAGAACCTAATAGATATGGAAAAAGATTTAAAGAAAAATTAATAAACAGAATCCTCCCCTTATGATTATTAATTTCATTTACAGATTAATTTATCTATCATATAAAAATATCTTGTATATTTATCTTTATTAATATATAAATATTCATTTTTTTTTTTTAATGGAAATTTTACAAAAATTCATGATGGTACCTCAAAATATCATTAATGCTCTTAAGACTATTAAATCCTAAACAAACAAAGTTGAAAATATTTTTATAGAACCACTTGCTTATTGCTAAAATTCAAAAGTAGAAACAGTTCAAATGATATAAATTGATCAAATAAAAAAAAGAACAAAATTAACTATGAACTAATAAACTCAAACAGAACAACAACCAAAAACTGGATAATTATTGAGTATTAATTCAATACCAAAGATTGATTCACATTAGAAAAGTAAACTTGAATAAGTCCCTTCTAAATCAAATAAAAAATACACTAAATTACTTAACAAATAGATAATTTAAGATGAAAGTTTAAGTAGAGCATCTGATTAAACAGAACCATCATAATATTCATATTGTCAAAATAATTTTTTAACAGCCTTAGAGAGAAATGAAGAGGAATATATACCGGAACAAATAAAAGTACACCAATTGAATCGAATAAATTAAAAATAATACAGAAGCCAAATACTCAAAAATTACTTAAACAAATTTAAAGATAAATACACAGATGAGAAATAAATATTAAAGTCCACAAGAACTTAATCCTCAGATGAAAAATAAGAGAGTGTTGATTAAAAAGAATTAGAAAATCACCAATAATAACATACACTGGTTTGATGATATATTCAATTTTGAAAATTTAATATTTCTTTATCTTCAGAGACATACTTATTGATTAAGAATTATTATATTTTTCATAAATAATAATTATGAGTGGGATATAATTTTATATAAAAGAAGATGGCAAACAAAAATTATCACAAATTTAAATAAATCAAATTATAAAAATTAACTCATTTAAATCTCTATTACTATAGATTATTATTATATCCATATGATAAACATTTTTTCATTTTCTTAATTCATAATTATTAATTATTTGATGTAGCCAAAAAGAAATATTAATGAACTTCTGGCAGAATATTCAAAAGAGTTGGGTGAGGATTTTGACGATGTGGATCCTTAAATGAATGAAGAAAATGCCTTTGACGATGATCCAGAAATGAGAAAACTTTAAAAATAATTGTATGAGTTTTATTCTATTCTTGAAATATCGATCTCGGCAAAGTAAACAACCAAATTGGCAATCCTCCATAATCAAAAGATGACTATGATTAAATGCTGTCATAATATGAAAATTCTTAGAATCAACGTGTTCCATAAAAATCAAATTAGACAAAGGATTTGCAACAACAATAAGCACCTGCTAAAAATTAAAAAGGAAATATAGATTTAACAGAATTAGAAAAATAATTTACTATTCCATCAAACTTAAAGTCAATGAGCGTACTAAAATTCGACATTGGGTATATTAATTAGAACATTTTACCAAATTTTAAAAAAAATCCTGAATTAACAAACTTTTATAAAAACTTAGTATCTGATATTATTATAATAAATAGGTATCTGATTTGCAAAAATAACTTTCTTCTATTTCATAGTAAATTAAGGATGAACAAATTAAAGAAATTTAATATATGAAAATGGTTAATGAAACATTTCAATTAGAATAGATTAAGTTTAAGGCTGCTACACCAGCTATGAAGAATAGAATAGGTTTAAGATGCAAGACTTTGAACTAGGAATTAGAAGATTTAAAAAACAAAAAATTTGATAAAATTTGTTCGGAATTTGGATGTGGTCCTGATTTGACACAAAAATTTTTATATTAAGAATTCCAAGAGAAGCCATTTAAAGAAAAAGCAAAGGAATTACTTGTTAGACATAAAGAATATTTAAATTTAACATAATATTTAAGTACTCATATGAAAGAAGAAAAAAGAGAATTAATAGAATTCTTAATCGGAAAACTTGAAAAAAGCAAAGCAATTTAAAATGATTTAAAAGAAGGCAAAAATATTGATTTTTCAAAATTCTTTATTTCTGAATTCAAAGAAATTACTGAAGATTAATTTCTTGGGATTCCTAAGATTGAATATTAGGCAAAAATCCAAAGTATGTTGGATTAAGTGAATTAAGCTTTGAAAGAAGAACAACTATATTATAAAGTGGCTTCACTTGCAAAACCCATCATTTAAGTTATTCCTGGAACAAAATAAATGCAGAAAGTCAATCCAGCAGATATATGCAAACAATATTTTGCCAGATATGAAGAATTATAGAAGTTTTTATCAAATTAAAAAAACATAAGTTGGACTCCTTTACCAATATTTAAAATAGAATCAGAAAATAGAGAAGTATCAACTATTAATAAAGATGTTCCAAACGGTATGTTAAGAATTCAATTTAAAAATTTTGTAAATGGAGATAAGTTGTTATTATAATATGAATTAACTATAGGAAAGTAAACTTTTTTTTAATTCTTATTAGCTAACCATATTAAGGGAAAACGGAATAAGCCGACAGTTAGGGTAGGTTAGGTTATGCTTAAGATATAAATCTAAAGGATTTCAAGAACGGTACAAAAGAAATTCATTTATCTGTAATTGAAATTAAAGCATTTAAAAAAGGATGGATATCAAACGATTTAAAAGGATAAGGAAAGATTTCATTAAATGATTTGCTTGATATGTCTATGATTGAAGGAGATCTTCTATTAAATGAGAAGACAGTTTTACAATATTGTATCATGTTGAGAGAATCATTAAATAAGAAAAAGACTGTAACGACAGCTTAAATACTGAAAACATACCCAAAATTTGATAAAACAAATGGAATGGATTAGTACCTAGAATTAAAATTAAAAGAAATACCAAATGAACCAGTTCCTTAGTAATAACAAAAGCCAGACATCTAACAACAATAATAATAATTATAATAATAATAATAATAATAATAATAATAATAATAATAATAATAGTAAAAGGAAGAGGAGGAAGCCTGTTAAGGTCCTTAATTATAGCCAGATTAATTAATTGTAATTAGTAGTAATTTAATTAGCTTTTAAATCATTAAGAGAATGATGAAGAATTTTAGAATGTTAAAAAATTTGGAGAAAAAATGCCATAGTTACAAGAGGAATTATTGAATCCTGAAAATCCGTTAAGAGGAAGTGTTTTTTACTTTTTAGTTTAATATTCACCATTTTTACAATAGAAATCAGTTGAATTAAAAAAGGACCCATCTGAGAAATTATAATAAAGATTTGTTTAAAAATTATGGGAGGATTGCTTAAGATAATAAAATAAATTAAAAAACAAATTAATGAATGATATGGAGAGTTATTTTAGTGATTTGTAAAAGATTATTAAAAAAGATCAGTTGATGATAAAACTATATAAGTAGGCTTAAGCACCAACTTGGGCAAAATTTGTAGAAGGAAGATTAGAAATTGCATTACAAGAAGAAAAAGCAATTTAAGAATAATTATAAGCAGAATGATGTATAAATTTATATATGAATGTCATAATTATGTAAATGAAATAATATCTTACATATGTCTTGCTATGCAATGATGCTTAGAATCTTGATATTTAGAAAGAAATCATTTACAGATCCACCTTAAGTTAATCTGTTTAGAGTTTATCTAGTCTCTTAAATTCCAATAGTTTCAACACATTATTCCATTTTTAGTTTGATTAAATTATTGATAACATTTTATGGTTCATCCAAATATTAAGGTTTCTGCATAAAATCAATCCATTGTGGTTTAGGAATTGGAGAAACTAATTTTCGATGAGTAGAGGAGATGAATTTTTATCTACTGATAGTATTAGTAAGAAGTTGGTCTAAAAGTTTGTGTTTCATTTTGTGGTTTTTTTATCTTCAACTTAGGAATATTTTGATTACTTTTATTGTTAGTTCGGAGATTGATTGTTTTATTGTTAGTTGGTTTATCTTATTATATAATTTATTAATTATTTGGATTTGATTCTTTGACTTCTAATTCTACATAATCAGTATAAACACTCTTCCCTTTTTATTTTTACTATTTATTATTACACCAAAATTCAAAAGTGTCTTATTATTCATAATTAAAAGTGACATGCTTTTATTTTAATAAGATTTTTAAATTTTCATTGTTTACTAATTAACGAATATCTAATCTATCAGTTTCTCGATCAAGACAAGTTGAAATAATGAATTAAAGCTCTTTGGAATAAATCTATGGAATCTTTACAATTCTTAAATGATAATTTCAATTACGCTCCTCCATTAAGGATGACTGCTTTGATTTGTTCTATAATCTCTAATTTAAATAATTGCCTTTAATTAGTCAATTTGTATAATACAAGACCGAATTGATACATCATTGATTTGTATGAAAATTTATTATCAAATAGCAATTCTGGAGGTCTGTAACAAAGTTTTTGATGCTAAATTAAATTATCAATTCCAAAATCACAAATCCTTACTTATTCTTAATGTATTAATATATTTTCAGTATTTAAACCTTTATAGTATATCTTATTTTCTCTTAAATAAATTAAACAAATACGATTTGTATAAGAATTTTACAAATCACTCTTTCAGAAATGAAACTTCCAAGATGCTTACTTATAAACTATTTTAAATTTCCTTAATCTGCATATTCCATTATTATGATAATATTATCATATAATCTAAATACTTCCTGCAGTTTAATAACAAAGGGTATTTAACATTTTTTCATAATTTATATTTCACTTATAGCTTTGAAAGATCAATAAATTTAATACCCTAGTTATAAAATCCAACAAACACTTTCATTGCATATATGTTGTTATCTATAATATTTCTGACTTTATGTATGATGGTCGATTTAGAGTAATAAATTTTCTCTTAAATTTCATAATTCTGCATTTATTATTAATAATAATTATTATTTAATATGGAAAATAGAATTTCATCATTGCAATAAATAAGAAATTTAAGGACTTTATTAGACATTAATAATCAATCCAGATAATCAATCTCCTTTTATTAAGAATATAATTATTGAAAGATTCAGTTTTTGTGGATATAATAAGTTTAAAATTTATTATTTTTCAAATGTAATCAAGGTTTACAAAATTTATTCTTTTTTGAATCTTTATTTTCTATCATTATTTAAATTCTAGCAATATCTTCACTTCTAAGTCCTTTTGTATACTCTTAGAACTTTAATTATTCAAGGCATTATAAATCTCTTAAAATAATTAATCATAATACTTACTTTTTGAACCAGTTTGATAAAGCATTCCAAGAAGATAATAATGTAATTTATCTCTTTAATTGTTTTAAGCCATCTTGTCTTAATTTAAACATCATATATAATATCAAAAATATCATTTTAATTTATTCAGGATTATCTTTAAAATAGGAAAGAAAATTGATTTTGAGAAGAATTTTGTTATAAATTACTAAGTTTCCATAAATGAAAGTAGTGACGAATATTCTTCTAAAATAATTTATGAAAATTTAATTGGAATTATGAATTGAATACGTTTCAATTAATAAATGCCAGAAAGAAATTGGAATATGAGAGAGTAATTATGATTTTGTGTTTTCTAATATCAAAGTAAAACTTTCCAATAATGTAATTGTTCTAATTGATAATTTTGATGTCAGTAATTAAGTTAAAAGAATCTTACATATTAACATTATATGCTCTTGAAAATTAAATAAAAACATTTTAAGATTGTACTAAGACAAGATCAAATTATAAATTCTGCCTGCAATAATGAATGTACATAAGAATTCCTCTTCTGATTTCTATTTCAGTAAATAGTTTTTTGCTATAATATCTATAAAAAATGATTTGTTTTCTCCAATTAAAATATTTAAATAAAACTCTGGGTTTTCAAAATGGTGATTATTTTATAATATAAACTTCTTTTAAGTGAAAATAATATGAAGGATATCATAAATACATTATAAGGCTCCTTTTGTATAATTTTCATTTTTGAATGAAAGTTTCTGAAATTCTTCATCAAATGCCAATTTTTCGAAATCATCAATCTATTAATCTTTCAAATCTGGTGGATAAATACAAAACTCTTTGTCTATATCGTAACTTTTAATAGATCCAACTAAATGAGTGAACTTATTTAAAATAATAGAGTTTTAGATTCTTGATTTATTTAAGGATTCTGTTATATTAATTAAGGATGATTATTAACTTAATCTTTATTGATTAGACAATTATCTACTATGAAGCATTATCATTTAAGTTGGTTTTTTTACTAGCATTCTTTAAAACATAGGTTTCTAAACAATTTCTGAAGTATTCTTTTTGTTGATTAATTAAATTTATTCAGTCAATACTCCAAACAAATTACTAGGGTTAGTTAAAGCTTGTAATTGACTTCTTGTTGTACTGTTTGTTGTAGTTTAAGGCATATTATCAAATTCAATAGGATTAACAACTAAAGATCTCTTAAGACTCCCATCAAACATAGATGCTAGTTTAGGTGCTAAAATTGTTCTTCTTCTAGTAGGACTGAATGTTATTGGAGTTTAATCTTCAGTTTTTAGATTTTTAGTCTATAAAAATTAAGGTGGACTAGCTGCTAAAGACATTCTTTATTTAACTTTGCTTTCTTTTTTTTTTGATGCCTGATCTAACATTTTTTCAAAAATCTTAACTGTTTTTTAACATTTATTAGGAAGATATTGAAAAATGTGATCAAGATCTTAATCTAATTCATCTATTTCTTCAGCTACCTTCTTTTATTCTGGTTAAGGAAATTATTTTTCAACTTATAATGGAGTAAAATCTGGTCTTCTTAATATTTCTTCTAAATTTTTAGGTCTATATAATTCATTTGATTTTAAAGTGATTACATCATCTATGGTTTTTGAGTTGAATATAGTCATATTTAGTAAATCAGAAAAAAAATTAGAGAAATCAAAATATTACCAAATTAATAAATTAGATTCATTATGAACTTTACTATAAGGAGTTTATAGGAAATTCATTAGTTATGTAAAAAATTATGAAATTTCTGGTATATCTAAAAATAACATCAATCTATAAGGAATATTATAAAAAATCAGAAAGAATGTTGACATTTCAGGTTCTTGATATAAAAGGAAGGATAAATATTATATAATAATTTCTGGACAAATAGTTATAGCAACTAAATCTTATTTTAGACATTCATAAAGCATTGAATATGCTCTCTAATAATATTCCTTGTTAACTCTTGTTAACAAAAAGTTATTTCTATTATCAGTTATGACTTGCATAGTTCTGAAAGCTCTAAATTAGATTATAGGTCTTCTTTCTTATGATACATTAACATTCAACTATCTAAATGAAGGAGGATCTGGAGGATTTAGATCTACATAAAAATTATATAATTTCTAAAATGAAAAATATATATTTACATTTGGAACTACTTAAGGATTTCTTGTTGGAAACAATAAAAATGACAAAAACAAGTCTAAGAGCATATTAGACTTAAAAACTTCGCTACTCAATTAATCAACTGTAGCATGATTAGCTACTAATAAAGGTACTTCACTTGGTTAAAATAACCATTCTTCTAACATTTATTATTTTAATTCTTTTTTTGTTAATCCATAATTTGATGCTTCTTCTCTTTTTTATTCTATTTTTTCACTTATATAATCTAAATTCTTTGAACTCATCACTTAACTTAAGGCAACCAATTCTTAAATATTTGATATATGATACAATCTTCAACATCAATTTCAAACTATTAATCCAATTCTCTTAATAAAATCCATACATTTCTTTTATCTAAAGCAAATTAGAAACATGAATTAAGCATATCAAAATTAGAATTATATTTAATGAAACTCTTAAAGAAATTATTTACCTTTTAACTAATAATTTCATTGTCAAAAAAGGTCAGTTAGATTTTATTGATAAAAATTTTTGAGTTCTCTAGTAGAAACCATCGTAGCTTGGTATCATTATCATTCACAGTTTGACAATATACTAAAAAAAGTCAATAATCAGTAAAATACTCTCCTGATTAATAAGACATTTAATAACGCAATCAAAATACAATTTAATATAATCCTACTATTCCTAATACCTATCTTATAAAGCATAGAATAATAATAAAACCTAGAATTACATTATTTATACACTATTTTCATATAATTGACTGGCGATCAGTAAATATTTCAATATATTTGGTTTTTATTACAACACAGAGATAACTGAAGGAAAAGGCAATATTCTACTCAATTTTCTACATACACTAAACATCAATGTTTATCTTCTATTGTCATCTTATTCTTAAAGCTATATTTTAAATATAATTTTACAGTTTCTTTAAATTACTCACATAATTCCATTTTATTAATTATTTAATTCAGAAAGTATCATGAAAAAGTTAATACTTGTACTTGGTGGTTCTACTTTTATGGGAAAAGAATTAATACAAGATCTTTCTTAAAATGAGTCTTATGAAGTTCATTATATAAATAGAGGGAAAAATTATTGGAATAATGCAGTAAATTAAATAAAGAATGTTTATTATACATATGGTAATCGAGAAGACACAAATGATTTTACTACTTTACTTAGATATCTCTCAAAAAAATTGAATGTCGGAATTAATGGAAGGAATTGGGAAGCTGTTATTGATTTTTCTGCTTTTTATAGTAATTAAGTGAAATCTGTTTATGCTGCTTTAAGAGGGTTGTGTAATTTATACATATTTATATCAACTGATTCAATCTATGATGTTTGCAAGATAAAATAAATTCCAATAACAGAAGATTAGGATTAAAGAAAAGAATTAACAGAATCATAAAAGAAAGGAGAGAGTTATGGCCATGTAATAATTAATTTCAATATTTAGAATAAATTGAAATGCGAAGAGTTTCTACAAAATTATGTAATTGAAGGTTCATTTCGATATGTTATTTTGAGACTTCCAGATGTTATTGGACCTTATGATGATTCTGGAAGATTTTTTGCTTTGATAAAATGGATTCAATAAAATGATAAGCATCCAATTTAAGTGGTAGATTTAAATATTAATTAGTTAGGATTAAGCTGTGCAATCAGAATAAATTAGTCTGGTATATAGCACAGATGTTGTGAATTGCATCAAATATTTTATTTAAAATATTCCATTATAAAATTAAATTTATAATGTTTGTTTTGATGAGACAATTTCATATATCGAATTAGCTTAGGTGATTGTAATACTTTTATACTAATTTTAGCTTGATAAAATATCCCAAAAATAATTAAATATTAAACATGTAGTTGAAGCTAGTAAATTCTATCCTTCTGTTGATTGTGGTGTTATTAATAATTAAAAAATCAAAGAATTGGGTATTCAATTCACACCTTTGATGACAGCTTTGGAAAAGACAATTGATTTTTTTTTAAAAGAAGCTTTAAATTACGAAGCAGAAAACAAGGCTGCTCTAGAAAAACTTAATAGAAAATTAACTGCATGAATATGAAAAAGGTTATGAAATGGTTTAAATATTAATTCCAAAGAAATAAATAAATATTATTTTAAATTTATCTTATTCAAAAAATTAAGTCCATTGATAAATTTTTTTTCTGTTTAGATTATATTGATTAAATGTATATATTGTCTTTGAGGTTCATTCATTTATAACAAATCATATTGTTTGTCTGAGTTTTAAAGATAAAATCAAGATACCTTCATATTAAATGATTTATATTTAGTCTCATTATCTTAATATGCATTTTATATTTTAAATTAAATAACAAGATAAATTAAATGTTAATATTAAGTATCTAAAATATTTTAAAATGAAGTTTTGAGGTTTAATAAAGCATATTAAAATATTAGATTCACTATAAAGAAAATCACTTATGAATTCTGATTAAATTATATAATTATTTGTATGTGATTAATAACAATCATTTATTAAAAAATTAGTAATTTTAACTTAAAATCACACAAATTTATGATAAATAAAACTATGACTTGTGAAAGTCTAACCCCTCTTGATATTTCATAATAATTCCAATTTAAAGTTATAAGGTGGACCATTCTTTTTTTTCAGGTTTAATCAATTATTGACATTCTAAAATTTAATTTAACGAGATCATATAATAAAAATTTGTAAATATTTTGAAGATAAATAGAATTTAAAGTTTGTCACTACTTATTTTTTTAATAAATGCTTATGCTTATCTTAAGATTCTGATTTAATTTATTCAGAATTTTAATTGGTTTATTGTTAATCAAGTATTTTTTTATTTTTCAAAATTTTTTAGAATAAATTTGGTTGAAAAAAAATCTATAAAAAATTATATTAAAATATCAGGAATGCTTCATTCTGATCATAAAAAAGATTTGAATTGATAGCCAATAAGTTTGAAATAATTAGAATTAATTAAATTCTCTTTTATTCTTATTCTTATCATTATTTTTATAACAATTTTGACAATAATTTTGAATTAATTTCATTTTCATATTATATAGGGAATGCGGACAAGGTTTTGAATAAAAGAAATTTAAATAGTTTTATACTTATTTTCAGATTTTTTTATAATTTAGTTATTTAATTAAGTCCAATTTCATTTTTTTCTTAAGCATAAAATCTTTATATTAAGAGAAAAACAAAGTTAATAACCATTTCCTAAATTATTTATTTGATTAAGATAGAAAATTTTGATTTAGAATTACTTTCATGCAAATTATTGTCATAATTTATGAATAAATTAATAGATCTAATATGATCATAAATTTGAATTTTATATTATATATTTTAATGGATTTTAAGAACTCCACATCATCATTTCAACTAGAAAAAATTCATGCCTTTAGCTTTGATTAAATGATTTTAATTTACATTCATTTTTAAGAGAACAATAAAAATAAAGTTTTTTTAATTTTAAGACTAAACGATGCAATTTTTAACCTTTGATGTTCAGAGATAAAAAAATATTAAAATTTGATTATGTTTTTGATTAGTTTGATTCTCCTCAAAGAAGTATTTGGATGGAGATTTTACAGCTCATCATCNGATTAATAACAATCATTTATTAAAAAATTAGTAATTTTAACTTAAAATCACACAAATTTATGATAAATAAAACTATGACTTGTGAAAGTCTAACCCCTCTTGATATTTCATAATAATTCCAATTTAAAGTTATAAGGTGGACCATTCTTTTTTTTCAGGTTTAATCAATTATTGACATTCTAAAATTTAATTTAACGAGATCATATAATAAAAATTTGTAAATATTTTGAAGATAAATAGAATTTAAAGTTTGTCACTACTTATTTTTTTAATAAATGCTTATGCTTATCTTAAGATTCTGATTTAATTTATTCAGAATTTTAATTGGTTTATTGTTAATCAAGTATTTTTTTATTTTTCAAAATTTTTTAGAATAAATTTGGTTGAAAAAAAATCTATAAAAAATTATATTAAAATATCAGGAATGCTTCATTCTGATCATAAAAAAGATTTGAATTGATAGCCAATAAGTTTGAAATAATTAGAATTAATTAAATTCTCTTTTATTCTTATTCTTATCATTATTTTTATAACAATTTTGACAATAATTTTGAATTAATTTCATTTTCATATTATATAGGGAATGCGGACAAGGTTTTGAATAAAAGAAATTTAAATAGTTTTATACTTATTTTCAGATTTTTTTATAATTTAGTTATTTAATTAAGTCCAATTTCATTTTTTTCTTAAGCATAAAATCTTTATATTAAGAGAAAAACAAAGTTAATAACCATTTCCTAAATTATTTATTTGATTAAGATAGAAAATTTTGATTTAGAATTACTTTCATGCAAATTATTGTCATAATTTATGAATAAATTAATAGATCTAATATGATCATAAATTTGAATTTTATATTATATATTTTAATGGATTTTAAGAACTCCACATCATCATTTCAACTAGAAAAAATTCATGCCTTTAGCTTTGATTAAATGATTTTAATTTACATTCATTTTTAAGAGAACAATAAAAATAAAGTTTTTTTAATTTTAAGACTAAACGATGCAATTTTTAACCTTTGATGTTCAGAGATAAAAAAATATTAAAATTTGATTATGTTTTTGATTAGTTTGATTCTCCTCAAAGAAGTATTTGGATGGAGATTTTACAGCTCATCATCACTTTATTAGTTAGGTTTTGCATATGACAAAATAAATTGTCCTGAATTACATACATTTATGCCAGGAATGCATCCACACAAATGTGTATGTAATTATTAGCTTTATTAACAGCTTATGCTCTGATTTGCAAAGGTGTTACAGAAGTATTAGTAAAAACTGAAGTAAATGGAACTTAACATGTATGTCATCCCAGATTCTAACCATGGGGAGCAGGGACTCCAACTCTAGATGAAAATATATTTCATTGTGGATTTACATAAGGCGTATCGCTAGTAATAGAGTATCTACCAGACGGATATTATAAATATTATTGCAAATGTAAGTATAAATGACTATTACTTTAGATTTTACAGATTTAATACAATAAAGATGTTTGATAACAACCTATCAGCAAGGTGTATTTCGATGTTATATTTGTAAACGACCATATATTGGATCTGGTTTTGATTGTGATTAAATTTAAAAGGGATACGATCAAAGATATATAAGTCCGAATGAAAAATGTATTACAATATATTTATTAAAGATTGTGGTGGAAATTGTTTGGAATGTTATGAATCATCTTTGTGTAAGTGTAGATAAGGGTATTCTATGACAGGTGAGCATGATCGATAATGTAGTGAAAGTATTTTATTACAAATTATAATTATATGGATAGATTGTTATGGTCATATTTCTTGTAGTAGACAAGAAGATGGTAAATTAATATTTTCATCAGGATGCATACCTGGGTATACAACTGACCCAGGATATTGTCGCAGTAATTATATTTGTATAAGGCATTTTTAGATATTGAACCTTGTCTATCCGTTAGCCCATCCCCTAGACTCAATTGTATTAGTTGCATGTAAGGATACATAAGATAGGAGGCATATTAATTTTCAAGTGGGTATCGTTGCTTTAAAATGGATTGGAATTGCGACCCCTCAAGATAATCAATGAAACTTAATAACATCATTGACAACTAATACTAATATTATACAACATGTACTTTATGCGATCTAGGATATTTTTATTCGATTACTGAAAAAAAATGCATCAGTAATATTGTTTTTTTAAAGTATTTAGAAATTCCTTATAAATTTCCTTGTGTCTTGTTAGACCCTCAAAGAATAAATTGTATCGGATGTTATCATACTTATGCGTTATAACCGGATGGCACATGCAAATAAAGATATTGCGATTCCAAATGTTCCACCTGTTTGGATACTAATCCTAGCTTTTGTACTACTTGTGACAGCAAAAAAAATTTAATAGCTGATAATGGTATCTGCAAATGCAAACTATTGTATGGTTTGTTAGATGGAACTTGCACACTTTGCGCAGAGGGTTATTGTTATGAGTGTGAACATGATGATTTTTATTAATGTACTTCATGTAAACTAGGATCAAATAGAATACTAATAAATAAACAATGCATTTGTAAACCACTAACATATGACCCTGAAAATGATGATTAAATTTGCATTTGTAAGTTTGTTATTGATTTTTAGCTTGTGATAAATCTTGTCACACTTGTTTTGGTCCATTAATTTAAGAATGTATTGATTGTGTAGAAGAAAGTATTTCAAACAGAATTTAAATTGGCAATGTTTGTCAATGTAAAACTGGGTATTCTGAATATGAAGTTAAGGAATAAACCTGTGGAAGTATTAATTTTAATTAGTTTAAGAATGCCATGCAAAATGCATAACATGTTTCTAACCCGCTGACGGATCTGAAAATCAATACTGTCTTACTTGTATACCTGGATAAAATCGTGTTGTTTCAGAATCTTTTAAGTGTGATTGTGAAGTTAATTACAGTGATTTTGGGGGAACTTTAGAAGTTTGTGCAGGTACATTAATAAATTATAAATAGTTTGTCATTACACATGCGGAAATTGTTATGGCATTGAAGCAACAAATTGTTCAGAATGTTCTTAAAGTTCTTATCGAGAATTAACACCTTTAGGAGAATGTTTATGCAAATAATCATATTATGATGATAATAAGGAAAATATAATATGTTAAAGTATTCAATTAATTTTGATTAATAGAGTGTCATCATTCCTGTTTAACATGTGCAAATAGCACTGATAAAGATGCATGTTTAGAATGTCCTTCTAGTAGAACAGCTTAATCATCAGGTAGCTACTTTGAATGTATTTGTACTTATTCAAATACATTTGATGATGGATTTTCACAATAATGTCAATAATGTGATTAATCCTGTAAAACATGTTATGGTTCACTTTCATCTAATTGTCTTACATGTGATAAAAATTATAGATAACTGGAATTATCATATTGTGTTTGTCCAATACAATATTATGATATTGGATAATTAT